ACACAAAAAGTGTCTCAAAAAAAAAAAAAAAAAAAAAAAAAAAAAAAAAAACTACACACCATATAACCCCCCCCCCCCCCCCCCCCCCCCCCCCAAAAAAAAACAAACAAAAAAAAAAAAAAAAAACACCTTTTATCTTGTATTTAAGTGGAATAAAGAAATGCAGTCATAGCTTAGCCCATCAGTTATAACAACAACATCCTAATAGGCTAAGTAATAACTGCAGTTTTTTCCTTGACCACAATTAAAAAAATTATAATTGTTATTAATTGTCTAGTGAAGAATGCAAACCCTGGTCTAATAATAGTAATAATCTTTTTTGTTTACCTTGTTGAGTGAAAGATGCAGTCAAAGCTTGTAATAATAATAAAATTATATTTTCTAACTGGGCTCAGTGAAAAAAAATGCAACCATAACATATTCCATAAATTCATAATCAGGGCCCATCAAATAATAATTTAGTTTTTTTAAACATGTGTTCAGTGAAAAAAAAACAAAAAAACCCATTGTGGTCATAGCTTAGCCCATCAGTTATCTATAACAGCAACGCCACCACCATTACTTGATGGGCTAAGTTATAAATGCACTCTTTTCAAACAAAAGTTTGTTTTTTTTATTATTATTATAAATCAACAGCATTAATGTTTAACTTGTGTTCAGTTCAAAAATGCAGTCATCGCATGGCCCATCAATATAATATTTTGTGTTTAGTTATTTTTGTTTTTTTAAGCAATCACATTAGCTTAAGCAAAGCAATTGCAGTAAAAATGCTACTAAATATTCAACAGCCAAATTATGCATATGAGTTTTTTTAATGACAGCCATCAATTAATAGCTTTTAAGTGATTATAGAAAAGAGAATGTATAAAATACAGGTGCTGTGGCAAGGAGTGGTATTTTCAAGTGCACAATAAGGGGTCTAGTTATAAAAGTGTTCACTCAATTCAGACCAATTTTCCCCCAGGATTCACACACTTCCCTAATTAAATGCAAAAATATATATATTTTTTTTATAAATATATATATATATATATATATATATATATATATATATTTTTTTTTTTTTTTTTTTTTTTTTTATTACACACACACATACTGGGTGATTGAAAAGTAACGCCTTATTTTAAAAATCTTATAATTTAATCATTTTTACAAAAAATAAATATGAGAAGAATACACATAACATTTTACTTAAAATTCGATATGTGCACTGATCTTCGCAGAAACTCTTGTGGGATAGCAGAAATATCTTCTCATAGTCGCCCTTCAAGTTCTTCTAAAGTCTTTGGTTTCGTAGAGTAAACTTGTTCCTTCAACCAACCCCAAAGAAAAAAAAGTTGCAGGGTGTTAAATCAGGGCTCCTGCCCGGCCACTCATGCGAACCACGTCGACCCAACCATCTCCCAGGAAAATGTTCAGTCATTCACGAGCAATAATAGCAAAATGTGGAGGAGCACCAACTTGCATAAAAATCAAGTCTTCAATATTCTCCCAGGTATTGACAACTGGCCAGATTTCATCTTGCAGCATAGCGAGATACCTTTCGGCATTCATGGTATTGCATATTTAATTGTCATAGATTAAGGAACATACATTAAAGAATTGAGAAAAAAGTAAACTTCAAATAAAAAATGTATAAATAGTTTAAAATAGGGAGTTACATTTCAATCACCCTGTAAAATATATATATATATATATATATATATATATATATAATATACACACACACACACACACAAATCTTGTGTAAAAAAACATTTCTAATTAGTGCCCTACATTTCAGACCAAGCAGTCCAAAGAAGAAAATTATCAACTGTCATTTTGATGTCTCTTTTTGCCTACCATGGCAGCAGACATAAATCTATGGCCACCAGTTTGTGAGGTTTCTGGCCTTTGACAGATAAAGCTCCTAATTATTTCAGTAATGTTTTCACATTATGTGACTTTTTAATCAGAGCTTCATTGAAATGAGGATAAAAGTGAATGAAAGAACCTCTGACTGTGGGTATGGTATCTGCTCATCACTCACCAATGCCGAAGAGCCCACCGATGACCCCCCAGAGTGTGTTCATGGTGGTAGTGGTATGTACCCGGACAGCAGACATCTTCATGGGACTTGGAATACAAAATAAAACTTTCAAACTTCCTCCTCCTGTGATTACAGCTTGGCTTGTCCTGAGACTGGTTCATCAGCTGACTGCGATCATGTGTCTGACTCAGCTCCAGGCAATCCAGGCAGATTGGGAACCTCAGACACAGGGCCCTCCCCAAATCTATTGTTCTTGTATATTTACCTTCTGCAAAAGGAGTCCAGGGTCCAGGATTTTGGTGAGTGCAGCTTGGATGGTAATAAGGGACTTTCAGGGTGCCAGATAAATTCCATCAGATCTCAAATTAGGAACCGCTTACAAATTCTGTAGAAATCGTCTTGAACATATGTATTTGTCAAAGATATTTCTGTGCTGATATTATGTATATATTTATGATAAAGTCCTTCAGTAGTCAATAAAAAGTCGATTAAAAAAAAGATACATTTCCACTAATAAAATTGTATCCACTATGCTCCTACGTGTATGTATCATTCTTAGCTGTACATCCGCTATACTCAAGATGGATTCTACTTTATACCTAAAAAGGATCTTCAGTCTGTTTGAATGAAAAAAAGTTAAACGTCAACAGATACAAATACTGTAGCTGCTGACTTTAACCCTCGCCCTCCAGAGGATTGACCCCTCTTCCTGACCAGGCCATTTTTTGCTATACAACACTGCATTACTTTAACTGACAATTGCGCGGTCATGCAACGCTGCACCCAAATTAAATGTTTTTTTTTTTCTTTCTGTGGTATTTGATCGCCTCTGCAGTTTTTATTCATTGCGCTATAAACAAAAAAAGACCAACTATTTTGACCAATATTTTTGACTTTTTGCTATTAAAAATGTCCGGTGAAAAAAATGAAAAAAATCAAATTTCGTCATAAATTTAGGCCAAAATGTATTCTGCGACATGTCTTTGCTAAAAAAAAAAAATTCCAATACATGTAAATGAATTGGTTTACGTGAAAGTTATAGCATTTACAAATGGTGGAATAGATACTAGAAGAATTTTTTTTTACTAGTAATGGTGGCGATCAGTGACTTATAGCGGGACTGAGGCGGGCATTCTGACACTGGGGGACGGGGACGGGGACTGAGTAACTGCCAATGACATGCCCAGTGACACCAATACAGTGATCAGTGCTAATAAAAAGCACTGACACTGTACTAATGGCACTGGGCAGGAAGGGGATAACATCTGGGGTGATCAAAGGGTTAACTGTGTGCTGTGTTTTTACTGTGTAAGCATATTGCTATGCAGAGCCATACAAACCAGTGTGCTGGAGCTGACAAGGGAGAGATCTGTATTGTTTACATACAAGTCTCTCCCCTGGCAGTGATACTCTGCAATTGCTGGGTGCTGGCAGGGAATCACCAGCCAGGACCCGTTGATCGAGAGCTGAGACCCGCCAATGGTGGCGCGGGTAGGGCGTGTGCGTGCCCTACCTGGAAATGCAAAATCACGTATATATACATGATTTTGCGCAGCCCTGCCACCCTGTAGCAGTATTTCTGCTATAGGGTGGTGGGAAAGCGGTTAAATAAAAGGACACTTACCTGTCCAGGTATCCAGCGCTGTCCTCACCGGGCCTGTTCTTCGTCGGTATTCGGATCCCCGGTGCCGGCATGCTTACTGTGGGAAGTTGGCTGTGGCTTCACACTATACAAGCCACGCTGTGTGAATGGTACTGCAGCCTCCTTGAACCTGTGATGTGTCCCAGGAGGTAGCGGGTGGGAGTAGAAGTGGGGGAGCGAGTACCTGTCAAAACTAGGTACCCATTCCCCAGGTGGAAAAAAGGGCATAAAGCAGAACTTCTCATTTATTTTCTATTTTGTTTTACTCTATTCTTTTCTATTCTGTTTTACTCTATTCTATTCTTTTCTATTCTGTTTTATTCTATTCTATTCTGTTTTATTCTATTCTATTCTGTTTTATTCTATTCTTTTTGAAATTAGAATTTTGGAAGACAGCTATATTCGTTCTATATTATTCTAATCTATTCTATTTTTTTATTCTATTCTAATATTTTCTATTCTATCCTTTTCTATTCCTTTATTTTCTATTATTTTCTTTTCTATTCTATTCTGTTCTGTTTTATTCTATTCTTTTCCAAATTAGAATTTTAGAAGATGGCTATATTCTTTCTATTTTTATTCTATTCTATTTTTTTCTATTGTTTTCTATATTATTCTTTTCTATAATTGTGTATTCTATTCTGTTCTTTTATTTTCTATCTATTGTTTTATTTTCATCGGCTCTTTCCACTGATCGGTGATCTGCTGTGTCCCAGGGAGACAGCGCACCACCGATTTCCACGCTGCGTGCCCCTGGGGGCGCACAGCGTGGAAATCGGTGGTGCACTGTCTCCCTGGGACACAGCAGATCACCGATCAGTGGAAAGAGCCGATGACTTCAGCTCTGTCATGTGATCAGCTGTGTCCAATCACAGCTGATCACATGTAAATAATGAAATGCCGAATATCGTCATTTCTCTCCTTACGAGCTGTTACACTGACAGCTCGAGAGGAGAGGAGAGACGGTAATTGGCATTCCTCAGAGGGGACATGTACACTGATCACCAGTGCCCTGATGATCAGTGTAGCCCCATCAGTGCCACCTGTCAGTGGCCATCAATGCCATCTGCCATTGTCCATCAATGCCACCTGTCAGTGCCCATCAGTGCCACACCAATGCCACATATCAGTGCCTACCAGTGCACATCAATGCCACATATCATACCAACTGAGCTGCCTTTCAGTGCCAAACTATCAGTGGATCAGTGCCACCTATCAGTGCCAGTCAGGCCGCCTATGAGTGCTGCCATTGTCGGCAATCTATGAGTGCCTATCAGTGCTGCCTATCAGTGCCCATCAGTGCCACCTAACAGTGCCAGTCAGTGCTGATCAGTTGCCATATATGAGTACTGGAGTGAGAATCAGTGATGTCTTTCATGCCCACCAGTGATGCCTGTCAATGCCCATAGTGCCACCTACCAGTGCCTCCTCATCAGTGCCCATCCGTTGCTGCCTATCAGTGCCCATCAGTGTAGCCTATCAGTGCCCATCAAGCCTCATTAGCGACACAGTGAAGGAGAAAAATTACTCATTAAATTTTTATAACAACTGAAAAAAAACTTTTTTTTTTTCAAAATTTTCAGTTGTTTTTGGTTTGTTTAGCAAAAAATAAAAAAACCCAGAGGTGATTAAAATACTACCAAAAGAAAGCTCCTCTGTCTCAAAAAAATGATAAAAATGTCATATGGGTACAGTGTTGCATGAACCGCGCATTGTTATTCAAAAGTGCGACAGCGCTGAAAGCTAGAAATTTGGCCTGGGCAGGAAGGGAGTTAAAGTTGCCCGGTAGACAAGTGGTTAAAAACTCACACCTAACTAAACAGGACTCAGTTGAATATTGGAAGTTATTATCATGTCCCCCGTTTTATGGAGCTGACTTTGCTGACTTTGTGTCTGGTTTTTTTTTGTATATATAGTATTTATATTAGGACAGCACAAGTGGGTAAGTGGTAGCACTTCCACGTAGCAGCACTTAGGTAGTTGGTTTGGAATCCCAACCGCAACACTACCTTGCATGGAGTTTGCACGTTCTTCCTTATTCTGCGTGTGTTTCCTCCGACAATCAAAACGACATGCTGGTAGGTTTATTTGGCTCCTGTCTATGTTGGCCCTAGTATGTATGAATGTGAAATAGAGACTTTTGAATATAAGCTCCTTGAGGGCAGGGAGTTGTAGGTGTGGCGGCAGAAAACACTCTCCGGTTGCAAAAAAACAAGACTTGTATTGAAGATATGGCCCAAATATACAACAACCCAATGGGAAGGCACCAAGCTGGAGAACAGTCACAGTTCTGTGCAGCTTGTAGTGTAGAGCACGTTCTGATGCACGGACAGCGTCTGTCTCCGAATGCGGTCTGGCCAGTCTGAGCCCAGATTCCAATCATCCAGAACCTTTCCCTGTCACTACTCACTTTCCCTGGCAGACAGGTGTTCTGCCCTTACACTATCTACTTGCACAAATGTGTGCCAAAACCTGGGGGCAGGCACTTAAAAAGGATCTGCTGACCCAAGATGGCCACCAGGGTCACCTATATGCAGCATAGCCAACCAGAAACACCTGCCTCAGGGGACCAAGGAAACCATAGAGAAACCAAGTGTCTCTAGACTTCCTCTCCAACTGCTCTGGCCTGTGCCACCTATAGTGGACAACTGATACTGCACCTGCCTACAAAGTACAATATATGTGTAAAGCACCTCTGTAGATCAGAAGGCAGGCTCTGTAAAATGTGCGACACAGCACTGCCTACTCACTGGGCATAGTCTCTATGTTTCATAGAATTCAAGGAAATGTGTTTTCTTCAAGGAAATGTGGGATTTTTGTGGGATTTTTAGGGAGGATTATTATTATTATACAGGATTTATATAGCACCAACAGTTTGCTCAGCACTGTACATTATGATGGGAGACAATACACGAGACAGTACAGTAACAATACAATGCAATACACGAGGGGTTCCTGCTCTTTGGAGCTTACTATCTAGGAGGGAGGGGATAGTGGTACATGAGGAAATAGCTGTGGGGGATGGAGTGGTAGGAAGAGTGGAGGAGATCGGCAATTAGGTGAGGGTGGGGTAGGCTTCCCTGAAGAGATGGGTTTTCAGGGTGAGCCTAAAGGTGAGGAGAGTAGGTGACAGTCTGATGGATTGGGGTAGTGAGTTCCAAAGGATGGGGGAAGCCCTGGAGAAGTCCTGGAGACGGGCATGGGAGGAGGAGACCAGGGAACTAGAGAGTAGGAGGTCTTGTGAGGAGACTAGAGAGTATATCGCCAAAAAATATCAATACACACAGTGGTGTATTTAGGCTTTGTGCTGCCCTAGACAACACAAAAATCATGACCCCCCCCCCGCAATGCGATAGGGAGTTGGTTCTTACATCACTGACCTCCACAGCCAAAGATTGCCAGAGCCATGAACAGGAAAGCCAGCTCAGCCAGTTATCCAAGTTATCGGGACAATCCTGGGAATGACGGTTGGGCTCTGCCGCCCTTCTGCATCATGCACCCTCTTTTGGATCCCATGTGGTGGAGCAGAGCTCATGCAGTGACCCCCCCTCCCCCCCAAGCACCGAAAATTTTACAAATGATTCCTATACCACCCGAGACTCAGAATGTACATGTAACATACAGAGATAGTTGTCGGTCTAGTAATCACAATATAGACTATGGAAGTGTTCTGTATCTCAACGCATTAATGCTTCTTCAGGAGTCTAGAACAAAAAGTAAAGGGAACAGAGGGGATGTAGGGGATGTGAGGATCTTCACAAAGTAACTTCAAGATCATTCAGATTATTAGGAGTAGGCTAAAAAAAATGTAAATAAAATGTGGAAATTAATATCTGATTTTAAAATTTGACCATAGATACACTTTAAAAGGACGGACAACTGAAATGACAATATAGAAAGCTGTAGTCCAGCTGATTATAAACAATACAGACAAGCTATAATATCAAGAATATTCAGTAGCACCCAAATAAAAATACATAAAATCCTTAGCAAATATATAAATGAAAAAGCAACTCATCATATACTACAGAAAGTGTTGTAACACTGACAAGGATTAAATCACTATAGTTGAGGTTCTGGCATGTTTTGCAGAAGTTAAGTCCATTTCCTCCTAGGATTCAGCAACAGTTGCTACCAGTTAATCAGAAGTAAATAATAAACCTCCAGTAATAGAGTGACTAAAAACACCATTTCTGCCCATTCACACTAGGGTGTTGCCACATTGCAAGGTGATAGTTGTAGTGCATTCCAGAACGATTATTGTACATGGCCTCTAAACTCAGTGTACAGTAGTGGCCAATGCATACCACACGCTGGGTTGAGCTGCATTGAAAAAAAAAATGATGTGAATATTTTTGTTCATTACAGTATGTTGGCATTCCATTCATAATGATTGGGTTACCTCAAGGCAATGCATGTTAACCAGTGCTATATGTGCAGTGGAACACGTATGAGTCATAAAGAGCCAGTAGATGTTGGAGAGTTAAACCTCCCAAGTATTTTATATATCTCTCCAGTTCCTGCACTCCCTGAACTGCTATGGCCATTATTAGGGATTCCCTGTTAGATTTGTATGTTTTGTATATTATGAAGAACATAACAGGGGAAGCCGAGACACACCAAGGTGGGTAGGAATATAGACTGTGGAAGTGTTCTGTATCTCCACGCATTTCGCTTAATGATTCTTCAGGGGTCTAGAATAAAAAGTAAAGGGAACAGAGGGGATGCAAATGTGTGAAGCTCTTCACAAATTAACATAACAGGGGAAGCTGAAACACACCAAGGTGGGTAAGAACATCCAACACTCAGAAACAGACATGAACAGAGAAGAATATGACTTTTTAAAGATATCTGCTCACTTCAAATAAATGACCATCTTCCCTTCCGCAGCTATAACTGTGACTGATTAGGAAGTAATGCAGTAATACAAGACTTTTGGCAAGTTCACACAACGTTTCTAATCAGAGTTTATGGAACACAGCATACGTTTATCACGTGTTTGTCATACATTCAGGAAGTTATAGTTACATAGTTAGTCTGGCTGAAAAAACACGCAGCAAAGCATGATCCAATTTGCTCCTGCTGGGAAAAAAAATTCCTTCCTAATCCTCGGAGAAGCAATCAGATATTCCCTGGATCAACTTTACCTATAAATAGTATCTATTTATATTCTGTGTATCTAAGAAAGAATCCAGGACTTTTTTGAAGCAATCCACTGAGCTGGCAAGAATCAACTCTTGAGGAAGTCTATTCCACATTTTCACAGCTTTACTGTGAAGAAACCTTTCCGTGTTTGGAGATTACATTTCTTTTCCTCCAGATGTAAAGAGTGCCCCCTTGTCCTCTGTGATGACCTCAGGGTGAACAGTAAGTGCTTGAATTTGTGATGCCTATCAGCAACTTGCTACTTTGACAATTGCCTTTCAGATTTAGAGAAAATGCCCCCCCCCCCCCTCTCCCCCCAAGTTCTTAAACACGTTTCAAAGGCCATACATTGAAAAATGTTTGGAAAGTGTTCCAATTGACTTCTTTTACAAGCATAATGAAGTGTCCATATGCTTTAACACCTGTCAAATGTCCAGATCAAATCACAGAAATGTAATGTGTACTAATACAGGCGTACCTCGGTTTCCGAACACCTCAGTTAATGTAATTTTCAGTTTATGAATGAAAATCCATTGAAAATACTGCCTCGGTTTAAGAATTTTTTTCACAATTTGAACGGATTAATTGGTTTTCAATGCATTTCCGAATTGTTTTTTTTAATCATGTCCCTGTACAGTACTATGCCTTTAAAGTGCACTTTATAAAAAGTTTTGAACAGGTAAGACTTTTTTTTACTTTTTTTTCTGACCCCCGCAACAGATTAATTGGTTTTCAATGCATTCCTATGGGAAACCCGCGTTTTGGTTTACGACTTTTTTGCAATACGAAAAGCCCCGCAGAACCAATTAAATTTGTAAATCGAGGTACGCCTGTACATTTCTTCCATTTGCAAAGCATTTGGGAAGCATGTTACGTTTATATATTTTTCAAGGGATGTTACATATGTTGGTGCTTATTTGAATAGTACTGGATATTCATGGATAACACTGTTTGTAAGTCTAGAGCAGGGGTCCTCAAACTACGGCCCGCGGGCACATGCGGCCCGCCGAGGACATTTATCCAGCCTGCCGGGCAGGGGCGTATCTGCTGCGAGGCAAGGGACTAGGCCCACTTTGGAAAACTCCACCCCTCAATCATCCGCCATGCCCTGCCTCTCTGCTACAAACCCTCTCAGTTTATCCTCCACAGGGCGACATGTTGAGAGAAACCCCGCCTATTGTTTCTCAGTCACTCCCTGCCTCCATCTCTAACACTCGGGAAAATCCCACCCCTCAATCATCTGCCACGCCCTGCCTCTACTACAACTCCCCCAGTTTATCCTCCACAGGATAAACCCCGCCTATTGTTTCTCAGCCACTCCCCGCCTCCTCTCTACACTTCGCCCTGGTTTCCCCACCACGCCCTTGCCTGCAGTAGTGCGCCCCTAAGCCTTGGCTGGCGTCACGGAAGAATCCCCGCCTCCATGTTCCA